AGAGGTCATTATAATCGGGACGTAGCGTTTAAATACAATGTAGTTCGCAACTAGCATTAGAATGGATTACTTACATGCGAATTTTAAATGAGAGTTGGTGCGCTAATTAATAGTGACGACCTAATTAAATGTATGAAGGGAGTCGGTATTTTGTAACTAGAACAATTTACATGACGAAGCGGGACTATTGGACACCACATTTCCAGTGGCTATATTTTATGTCGAACAAATATGATAACACAGGCGAACAGAGATCGTGGTACCTGCGACTTTTTAATTGTTTCTGGATATATTTTGGGTGCAGAGTTCAAAAGGGACCTCAGAATTTAAGAAAAATAATGTTAAAATCAGATTTACCACTTGTGCAAAAATCTCTCAATGCCTTTGATCCACCAAAAACAAAATATCGTTTGAGGCGCCAGGCAAAAGAACATTAAAGAGCCTTAACACTGCGGCAATTTGTCAGCGGTTGCCGAACATAATCATGAATATCAAATGGACATCAAATGTTAATCGATCAAACTAAAATTCTTGCATATAATCAATTATTCTATTAAAAGAAAAATCCGAGAATCAATAGAAAACTCTAAATAACCATACAATCTTAACCGCGACTCAGATCTTTACTTTTAACCAATAACATGGGAAACAGTTATCCGAGACAAACGGGTACACAGTAGAAACTAGTTTCAGTTAAGCCCTGAAGAAATGAAACCTCCCCAAGTTCGATTCATCAACAACCGAGGCAGGAGCAATTCACAAGATTTTTAACTTCTACAGGCTATTGAGGAAGTTCATTAGTGACTTAGCACTTAAAAATTTCTTTTTATAATTTTTACAATCTCGCTGAAAGCTGCAGCAAGTATAGCGATATAGGTGACTATGGAGATAGTGAACTTGTATACTGATGTTTCAACCGAGAATATGAAAATTTGGAAGCATTGTTTCCACTAATACTATGTAATTTCTTGCTTTGTAATAACCGAGAAAATTTAGTACTACTTCAACAAATGAGCACCGAGAGTTGGATTCAGTCTCGCTCATTGATGGTGTGAATTGTGGAAAAGTTGCCTTATTTGAGAAACATCAGATTCAAGATTTTAATTTTTCCGTGCTCACTCCAAGAAATTTACGTGACATTTAACGTAATGAATTATACCAACAGAGAGGTAACAAAAATAAATGTGTCTGGTCAATAGTAAGTGAAATAAAAGGAAAACATGACAGTAAAGACATCAAAATTATAGATTAATAAAGACACGTTGCTTAAAAGTTTTATTGAATTTTTAGTGAATGTTACAGTAAAGAATTAGAAAATATATGTTTTAATTCAGATATTATATTTAATCAAACCGAAATTAATCTGCAACCAATTAATGAAATGAAATTTAGGATATAGTAAAAAAGATGTGAAGTACTACTTATAATAGTCACATTAAGTTTGTGTTTGCAGTGTTCCTTAAAACAAAAAGTGATCAGAAGGACACATAATCACCCAATTGCTCTTCTCCCATCATTAACGAAAATAATACGTACCAGGAAGATAAACTCAAATAGAAGTACAACATATATAACATATACTGGATGCTGAATTCCCTTTAGGGCTAATTCATCAAAGAAGCTTCCACAGCCACGGTAAAACTATATACAGATCTTCTGGTTTCTTCCTGCCTCGGTTGTTTGTGAAACGAACTTTCTGAGGTTTGGTTTCTTCAGAGGTTAACTGAAACTGGTTTGAGTTCTATTCTGTACCTACTCATATATTGTTTAACAGAGACGGAGCTAAATGAGCTATATGAACATTGCCTCGGTTGAGTCACGGTTAAGATTATTTGGTTGTTTGGAAAATTTCATGAATTCTCAATTTTTTCTTTGGTAAAAGAAATGACTACATGCAAGAATTTTAGTTTGGACGAATGCGGTTTGAGATCCGGTTTCACGGTTGTGTTTGTTTGCCGTCTTAAAGCTCTTTCATGTGCTTATAGCCCAACTGATATATTTCATCCTGTTTTTTTTTCTCTCTCTCTCTCTCTCTCTCTCTCTCTCTCTCTCTCTCTATATATATATATATATATATATATATATATATATATATATATATATATATATATATATATATAAAATCCCATAAACTCATCGCGTCTCAAACGGAATTTTGTCTTTGACGGATTGAAGATATTGCAAATGTGGGGTTGCTTTCGTACTGATTTTGGAACGCTTAAAATATCTAACTTGGAAGTTATTAAAGCAGAACAGATGTTAGGTGTTTTAATTTTGGTTTCGGTGATTCGGATGAAGTTGCACGACTAACAGAGTCTAAGAGTGCAAGATCTAAACTAAATGACCCATTATTAGGCCTTATTTATATTATTATTTCTAATTCAATTGTAAAACGTATGTGGGGTTCATAAAGTTTCAATGGTTAAGAAAATTTCGGAGCGATTCGTCTCCAAGTTCGATTGACCAACAACCGACGCAAGAGGAATCCAGAAGATTTATAAATAGTAATATTTTGGTCAATTTAATGGATTAATCGTTTCTGTCAACGTTATTTCCTATGTACTTTTATTTATAAATAGCCAAAATAGTTTTTGCAGCGCATTAATAGAATCTTACGTGAAATATTTGTAGCAAACATTTTTCGATCATTTGGCATGTGGCGAACGAATTGTCTTTTTTATCAGATTTGTTCAGAACAAAATATCGGCATCAAGGTGGGTCTAAATTCACTAATTCACTAACTACTATATGCAACATAAGACGAAAAAAGGCGAAAAGAAATTATTTTAAGAAAATATCAAACAGCAAAGAAAACGGCCAGTCAAGTTTCAACAATTGTGTGCCGTACAAAATAAATCCGGAAATCAAAAACAAAGCAAAGGAAGTGAAACCTTTCAATATAGGAATCAAATTGGAGGCGCGGACATCCGATATCCTTTTTCGAAATGTTTGTGTCGACGCCTGTGCCGGCGAAACTTGAAAACCCCGAATGGAAGTTTTATGAAACGTTCCCAGGAATATAAAATTTAATTGACGTTTATATCGACGAGGAATAAATGAGGTTTACCAGTGAATTTTTCAATTTATAGCTTCTAATAAATCTATACCGTCGCCGGGGGAATGTCTTCTCGAGTGATATCTTTGACATTTTGTGAAACCCACCTTATTCATCATTACGACGCATTAAAATATCGGAACAATCGTGTTTTTTTAATAATAATCATCAATCCAAAGAATTGCAAGAATAGCGCTTCGTGGTTTAATTTCAAAGAGGAAGCTAAAGAAAACTGAACACTTTAAGATCAATTTAACATAATATTATTATTCACTTACACTTTTAAAACATTATATTGGTGTACGGGATGAATTTTTTTTAAAACGTTTAGTAGAAGTATTTCTAAATGCGCAATTTTGTAAGCTCTACTGAAAACCATTTTAAGTTTTTCAAAATTTGATATTCATATTGATATTTCTGATGTAGTTTCCGATATTCCTGCACTAAACATAAAAGTAGCTCACCCTCTATATACAGGATATTTGTATTTTCGCTGACAAGGACCAACTTTCTTATTTTATATAGAGCACACTCTATATTAAGTAATTTTTCAATTCCTCAATACAGGATGTATAAATATCGCCTCCCTCAATCTTACCGTTTCTCTGGCGTTTGATGTTTGAAAAAAATGGGGTTTCCAAATTTATCGTATTTAGCATTAAAAAAAGGTGAGTGCGGTGAAATTAAAAAAAGTTCCAGGTTTTTAACTATCAGCCATAAAACGTTTTTCCATCTTAAAAATGTTATGATAGTGAAACATGGTGTGTGTGTCTGTTTGTGTAAAATAACCCCCTAAAATTTTGAAATGTTTCTGTTGATATTTTTTAGCACACTTTAAAATGTTTTGTAGAATAATAGAATGCTGTAAACTCCTGGCATCTCAAATGGAATGTTGTCTTTGACGAATCGCAGATGTTGGGAGTTTTTTGGACAAGTGGTAAATCGGGTTTTGACGGTATCTTTGTTTAAAACTTTTGATATGTAGTCAGTGATGTTTTGAATATAAGAAAAGACAATAGTGGCAAGTGTGGGATTGCTTTCGCCTTCATTGCTATTGGAAGGTTGTGGTGAAGTGAATTTTGTTATGGAACGCTTAATATCTTTAATGTGGAAATTATTAGAGAGAAGAGCAGAGGTAAGGTGTTTTATTTCTGGGTTCAATGACTCGGGCTGAGATAGTTTTACGACTCTGTTAACAAGAGAGTTGATAACCGATGATTTTTGGGCCGGACGCGTAGGTTTAATAATAAGGATGTTAGACAAGTTCACCCATCCCAGAAAGTTTAGACACATTTTAAGTATCTGTTTTACCGCTGTAGTGCTTTCGTTCAAAATGTCACCGACCAAATCTCAAAAATTCTGAAAAAACATGACATTAAAATGAGATTCTGTACTTGTCTTTAAATGAAAAAAAAACTGAAAGAAAAACCACAACATTTTCTAAAGTATTTAAACAAATAAATGGGGTAAATTTAAATCACAAATAAATAATAGTAACAGTTACAAGTCCTGATGGTTAGGGTAGCTCAAAATAGAGGGTCAAATATCTCCTAACTTTAGGACTCCTTTTTATATATTGAAAAAGCAAATATTTTACCATCAATTTTTCAATTTAAAGAACTAGGAACAAGCATTTCTTAGATTATTTTCATTTTAATTGTTTATAAAAAAAATAGCACCTGACATTTCGGAATTTTTTGTACTTTGGAATTACTCTTTAAATGTGAACGTATTTAAAATTGTTATGAATGGGAAATCCCCCAACTCTCAATCGTCGTCGATCAGAAAAAAAAATAGATATCTTTAGGGGAAACATGATCTCCTCAAACATAAAAACTATGAGCATTGATATGTTCTTTGATATTGCAATTACTTTTACAATATAAATCATTATTTGAGATGACGCAAATTTCTTTGTAAAATTAACGTGGTCATTTTGTTTCAGATTCTCCCGCATACACATAACGATTGACGACTTGTAAAACAGAAAAGGAAACGCTGCATTCTTTCACCCGGTCCAGTGTCGAACAACAACAGCGTCATCAATGCATGGTCAATGGATGATATCCTGTTCAATGACAGCCACCTATCGCTTATCGGTACGAACCATGCGGAGTTTGCAACAGACAATTTGTCAGAAATTAACGTCGGCCAATCAGTTGCGAGGCTGACGTCGCCGTTCGTAGTCACCGTAGTGGTACTGCTGGTTTTTCTGCTGTCGCCGATGATACTGATCGGGAACTCCTTACTTTTGATCGCGATGTACCGCTTTAAAAGGTTACGCACGCCCAGTAATTACTTGGTGATGTCACTGGCCAGTTCCGATTTGGGCGTCGGGATGTTTATGCCCATCGGATTCTACCTGGAGCTGAACGGAGCTACGAGTGTTCACGGGCTTCAGATGTGCTTGTTCAATTACGCCGTTGTGATAAGTTTGTGCTGCGTGTCGGTGCTAGTGATGGTCGCTATCGCGGTGGACCGGTTCACTTCTCTCGCGAGGCCTCTCAGGTACAATAATTTAATAACCCATTCGGCTGTGGAGAGATATATTGTTATATTCTGGGTTTATTCGTCGCTGGTCGGATTCAGTCCGCTGTTCTACACGGTGACGCTGGGAAGTAAGCAAAGGTACGTTTATATAGTGCTTTTACCAAGCATTGGTTTTGGCTTATTTATTATTAAACATGGAGGACAAGTTAAGGTTATATCGTAGCTAAAACTTCATCTGTAAATTTTACTCCCCATAGTAAGTTACGAAAAAATGTTTTTAATTGCCTTGTTGATGGAATTTGTGAAAGAAAATGCAGTAAGTTATGCAAATTACGAAAGGTCTGTAAATATATAACGAAGTTTTCTGGTAGCCCGTTTATTATGGAATGTCACGTTACCTCAGAACCTGTACCAAATATTGCAAAACTTAAGACCGGTTACTTTAATTCACTTATACTTTTAAAATATATTTTCTATGTACAAGGTGTTTGTTTATATTCACCTTTTAATTTAATTTTAAAGGGAACACTGTATCTATAGGCATTTTTGAATTTTTCCGACTTTCTTTGTCATATTTAATATATAATACCCTATGCCTAAATCCTTCTGATAAATTTTGAATTTTATGTAAAAAAAAAGCGTTTGCTGGTCTAAACATATCTCTCGATTTCTATTACTGAAAGCATTTTTTAGTTATATTTGGGGTTGGTGTAGACAGGGTGGTAAATAACTAACTAAAAAAGTATATAAATATTTCAATACAAAAATCCTTCAGTCATTTTTCTTAAATAGCAACACTTTGAATAATGTCCATTGTAAAAATCCTATACCGTTGTTATGTTTCGTTGACTTTCTGTACCCTTCGAAATTATTAAGATTTTTGAATAAGACAACGAGAAAGAGAATGAAGAATCTGAAATGACAACCATATAAATATTTTTTTTATTTGTCTAATTAATTTTTACCATTTAGTGCAAATTTTAGACAATAGATTGTTAAGGTTTTTCCTTATTAACTTTTCGCGATTTAATTCCTCAACTCCGAGACCTACTATAACCTAACCAACCTATTCAAAACTAAATCACGAAAATTTTGCGACTGCGCGTAACTGAATTATCACCAGACATTTTCATTGGCTAACACAATGATGACGTCACTTGTCCTGCAATATCGTTTGGGAATATGCCGAATTCGGCAATGATCTCGCGTGATTAATCCCGCGATTGCACAGTGATGTTGCATGACTGTGTCCGATTTGTATTTTGCGTAGTGATTAGATCTTCGATCAGTTTCTTTTAATTCAATTATGTTCGACACACTAACTCCATTTTTCACTATCCAGGGGATTTTAACGTCCCCCATTTTAAAAGCGGTGTTGTCTTTTTACAGTATCTTTTATTTGCGTCCATACCAATTATATGGGGTTTACAAAAAAAAAAACAAATTTCGTACAAATAAGTTTATTTAAATTTACAACTGCTTCTTATTTAATGTAAGACAATGCCTCTGACTCATCGAATGCAGTAAAACTATGTGTGATGGCCCCATGGTGTAGAGAGTGTAAAACGAGGTAGTGCAGGGTTGGATTGCGAAAAGAAAAAACAATATTACTGATGTTGTTAAAAGGTTTAAAGCGAGATTTTTGATTAAGCCACTTCTCATAACATTGCTCTAGCGATAGATTATTTAGATATCCAACATATATTGGGTGATCGAGCACAATATTATTGGCAGCCTATAGCCTTGATCTTACTCTTCCAGATATTTTTTGTGTTGATATTTTAAAAGCAAAGTTTATTTTGGGCGCCGTGACAATATAGATGACATTAAAGAACATTATTGACTTTTCGAAAATAGAGGATAGTTTCAATAATTTGCGCCAAATTTGCAATCTATAAATTAGTGTTTATATATTTGTACTATCTATATATTTTTGAAAACATTAATATATTATCTATATCTTCAAGATACTATATATATATATATATATATATATATATATATATATATATATATATATATATATATATATATATATATATATATATATATATATATATATATATATATATATATATATATATATATATATATATATATATATATATATGGATTTTTCCTGCGTCGGTTTTTGCTTAGTCGAAATTGAAAAATTAAGTATATAATATTTCCATGTTGATTTGATGTGAATATTTTCTGACATATACGAAGGTGGCATCAATTATCTTTGATCTCAAGTCATATTTTTTTCTATTTTTGTGTAATATTCCTGTTGTCAGCATTTTCAAATTAATCGGAAATATCAGTGCCGTCTAAACGAAACATAAACCGCAGGTTCTTCGTTTCAGCAACGCGGACTGTTCGTTCGGTGAACTGGTGGAAAAACCTGTACAGCTATTTATGTTTTGCGCTGTGTACGGTCCAAGCTCCATCGTCCTGCTGGTGTGTTACGGGTACATATATTTTGTAGCCCGTGGACACGCGAGAGCCATCAGATCTGAAGTGAGACAACAGCAACACCACTATTCCAATCCCGTTGGGACTCCGCGGTATGGATTGGCCCTTGCCATCACGTCGGGACTCTTCGTGGTGTTGTGGGCACCTTTTCAGGTACGCTACCGATTGAAATGGAATTTGTTTTAGCTGCAGTCAACAAAAATACATTTTTTAAAAAACTGCTCATTGTTGTACCCTCGACAGATTGTTAAATTTTTATGTGAAATCTTTATTTTTAACGTTTTCTATCTGAAATTAATGTTTAGTAAAAAATATGCCTTTTGAATTTTGACAATTATATCAATCTTAGTCTGAAAAGAATCTTCAGCAACTTTAGATGAACAAATTTGTATTCTTCAAATTCAATTTTAGAAAACTAATTATTGTGTTTTTAAACTTAAGCTATAACATGTCAAAATATCAAGGTCTATTTATTTCGTTATCATGAAGACCAATTCATAATAAAGGCGATTTACACTAAATTGAAACAGTCCCGAAAGTAACAAAGTAACTGTTTGATCTAGCCACTATCTACGCAATGAAATTATCTGGTCATTGGGCGAAATTAGTTTTTTTTTAAATTTACTAGTTTCTTTATTCTGTTCGTATTCGTATGCGAATATAATAATATTAATAATAATGTTAATGTTAACTGGACTCAATTAATATAGAAAACAAGTATATTTTCAAAATGTCAAAAGTTATGTTTACCACCATCTTATTACCATTTAAGGTTTTTAAAAGTAATTTAGAAGTAATTTTTGTTCTGTTAAAACAACTGTTTTTTTTTACGAGTAATCTACTGCCTTTGGCACCACGTTCTCAGTGTGTATAACCATATGAAAAACATATAAAATAAAACAATGAAAGCAGCTTAAGTATTAGGTAACTTAAACTTCCACAGTCTATTGTACTGCTATTTGCAAATCTTCTGGATTTCTCCTAAAACCCCACTTTGCCATTGGTGATTCTTCCTTACATTTAAAACATTATTGAACATTTGTCTAAAGTTCTTAGGAAATATAATGTTTAAAGCGGCGTTACCACTTGTCCAAAAATCTAAAGATGAGCTAAAGATACATTGAATAGGGATATATTGAATAGGGAATTTATGTAGCTTGCTTGCTTTTGCTTGAAAAGAGTAAAATAGTTGAGAATCGTCAGAGTAATTATTGAGAAATATAGGTTTCAAAACAGAAGGAAAGTCAGACATGTATGCTTAGAAGAGCAGAGGTCCCAAGATCGAGCCTTGGGATATCCTTGTGTCGCAGAAAGGGTGCTGGATTTACTATTGTTATTGAAGACGACCTGTTGCGATTTTCGGTCAAAGTGAGATTTAATTTCGTGGACTTATGTTGCAAACCAAAAAGAAAACTTTTGACAAAGAACAGTATCAGAAGCTCTGCTGCAATCCAACAGAATAAGACAAGGCACCTTATTTCGATCAGTCTGACAAAACAAGTCTCCAGTTATTTTAGTAGATCCAGTGACAGTAACTCATTTATGCATGCATAATTTTGTCTACGGTCTGGGTTGGAGTAGGTGAGATACTAATTGGGAAATTTTTTAAAGGGGAATTGCATTAGCATTCTCTTAAGAATCAAGAACAATTTAATATCTAATGCACATGCTTATGATGTGTCAGGTGATTAATTATAAGATCTTATTTTAGATTGTCAGAGTCAGTAGTAATAATTTTTATAGAAGTCAAACATTTGTTAATATCAGCCTAGCTAACTTCATTAAAAGTAAAAGTGGAAGCCCGGGACTATACAATGTGTTTTTGCGGGAGCGTTTTAGCAGGACCCGTTCTGTAACATGCTGCCGTCAAACAGGACGACGCGACAGCGGGATCTGAAAGACAACACACACATTTATAGAAGAGCATTTATACTGTGCGGTTGCATTGAAATTATTTGCGCAATTATGTTCGATGCGCAAAAATTTATCTAATGTATCCAATAGTGTCTAGCCATTCATTTTAGTCTTCATTTTACGGACTTTGGAATAATCCAAATCAATTTTATTAAAACCGCTTTTTCTCCTAACGAAGAGTCTTTTGCTTTAACCCTCTGCCAAGCTTTATCCTCTAAGATCTTGTCTGCTTCGTGTCTTCTATTTAAATCGTTAGGCTGAGAATATGCTATAGCGTGCTCTTTACAAGCAGCGTCTAAAGGATTTATTCCAGAATCACTTCTTTTTATTCTCTTTTGTAAATGGGTACCCGGCCCGCAGAACTGGTAACCGGGAATATAAAGTTCGACAGGAAGTTTGTTTATAAGTTTATTTTTAATCCTGAACCTTTCGCCCTGTTTCGATGCACAATCATCAGAGTGTTAGGAAATACTGTTTATAAAAATTTAGGAATTATGCTATAAATGCTTTTGCGGGTTCTTGGTAATACCTCAGTCGAAATGAGACTTGAAAAGCAAGCCTTTTCTTTACCCGTAAAAAACACTACGCAAGCTTGGTCCGGGAATTTCAAAAGCACGGCGATCTCTTTGGAGGTGGTAGCAAGAGAACAGCAATTGTAGGACCCTCAAATTCGGGTAAAACCAATGTCATGTTATCTTTGCTCGAACATCCTAATGGAATTAGATTTGAAAACGTTTACTTATATTCCAAATCCCTGCAACAGCCAAAATACGTGTATTTGAGAGAACTGCTAAAGTCTTTACAAGAGATAGCCTTTTTTGAGTTTGAGAGCGATGAAAATATCGTTTCTCTTCAGGAAATTAAACCCAATTCTGTTATAATATTTGATGATATTCCTTGTCACGATCAAAGTGTCATTAGAGATTATTTCACTCACGGTAGGCATAAAAACGTAGATTGTTTCTTTAATTTTCAAGGATATTCCTCTATACTCAAGCGACTTATCAGGGAAAACGCCAACCTTCGGATTTTATTCAAGCAAGACATGATGAGTTTAAAGCATATATATAACGATCACTGTATGTTGCACATGTCATTTGAACAGTTTAGAAACATCTGTGTGTACTGCTGGAACGAACCTTATAATTTTCTTGTGATTGACAAAGATTGTGAGTTGAAAGGGCAGATATAGGAAAAACTTCGAATCCTTCATTTATATATAATATTCCATAATGGATAAACGTTTAGCGACTGAGCTAATAAAATCAAGAAACGCAGTGAGGGAAAAATATCAAAGGCTAAAACAAGCCGCAAATGAATCCCAGACGCAACTGGAACAAACCTATAAACCGATAACTCAGCCCCTGCAGCAATTAATTTCATCAATAAATAAAACGGATATCAAACAAGAGCCGTTTGAAGAAAAAGAAAATATTAAAAATGGAGTGCTAACCTCGAAGCCTACTCCGATAAAGGAGAAAAGAACCGGAAAAACTCCAATCTTACCTTCAGAAGTGCCCTTTTTTTTGATACCTCCATTCCGTCGATCCAACAACAAAGCGATGTTGTAGCTGAAAGTACGGGTATTTCAGACAGCGATACCATGTTGGGAAATCTGTCAGATATTTTTAAACAAACTAAGCAAGCGATACAGGATTACGTCGACACTCCCGCCTACGAGCAATGGTTGGATGACTTTGATAAATTACCGCATAGGGGGAGGGGGTGCGTTTTTAGGTTATGTTCGTCTGAACTCTCTTTATGCATCTACTAAAATTAGAAGTTGAGTTGTTACACATACCGAAGTATTTTATTTGAGTCCATATATGGTTGGACTCAATAATACTTAAATTTATCAAAAACACATAAAATACATAGCAAAAATGTAACTAATGTAATTAAAATTTTATTCTAAATTGGAAATTATCTATTTCCACAGGAAAATGTTGACATTCACAAAAACATTAAAAATTTAGAACAAACATTTAAAATTCAGAACAAACATTACTTGAAATGTAACTGGTTTGAACTATTCTAACGGACATGGAAATGATACATTTCTGAAAAAAATGTTTGTATTTATTTATATAAAAGATTTAGGTTAAACGAAAGTTGAACCGCTGCCGGTTCAAGCAAATCCGTCGATTCAAGAGCGCAAACAATATTCATTTTTGGAAACGTTGCACAACTGCACAAGTTTACAACGAATGACGTAGTTCTTTTTCTACCGCAATATGTGTGACCCCAAGACCTAATTGACATGTAATTTACGATTTTTGTACTTTTGAACTTGTGTATCAGTTTTAGAACATATATCGTAGGTGACATGGTAAAGCGTTATTTTTGTGTGTTATTCCCAAATGTGTTAGAGAATTCCACGTAGCTTTAGTGAATTTCTTTTTGATCACAAAATCCATGAAAGTTGTTGGCCCACGCTTTGTAAATTGCTTAGAGTAGCTTGGACGATTTTTGTAAAAATTCCAATGAGCAGAAAGCATCATCTCTCTAATCGCAGGGTTGAGCCAATTAGCTGGAGGTTTTATGACACGATTTTTTTTAATGGCGCACAAATATCAAAAACTAGGTTCAAATCACTATTAAGAAAGTTGACCAAGTCAGTAATAACATTTATTTCAATAAAATAATCCCAATCAATACATGAAACAAATGTACTCTAGATTTAATTCAGAAAAACCTCTGAAAGTAGGACACAAAAAATCATACAATTGGTTCATTCTGTACCTCCCTTTCCACACCTAATTTTTTTTTAATACGCTACGCCTTTATCAAATAGACAATAGATTTGTTTGGCACGAACAATAACGCGAAAACTAGATTCATTTCAAATTTGCAGCGGGACAAATATCAATCACTAGTAAATGTAACTTAGATGAGAAATCATGTTCAACAATTTTCTCTGGAAAGCAAGTGTAATCGTCTTGACTCTCTCCTTCCCATCTCAGTTCGAATCGTTAAGCAATAACCCGGCAATAAAATAAGACAAATTACTTTGGGCGCTGCGGGTTATTTACCGCACAAAGGGTTAGGGCAACGAGGACATGAGAACCAGACCCAGAAAGTTATCAGTTGTTTATCGCGGTTCAATGGCCTGCGCTTGAAATTAGTATATTATGCAACAAGTGCGGTAAACTGCATTTGACTCACGAGCTTATCTGACACGAGCGGAGCGAGTGTATAATAAACGAGTAACTTAAAAATTTTACCGCACATGTTGCATA